TATAGAACCACAAGAATTACTGGACCACAACATTTTTCACCGGCTGACAAAGAATGAAGAGGCCCTCAGAAAAAAAGTGACAAGTCTAATTCAGCCTTCCATCCTTCTGAGGTTGGTAAAGTGAGTAGTAGCTTGCTACGTGAGGTGGGGGCAAATGTGTAGCCTGCATAATCAATTTGTGAACCATCCAGAAAGTGCTTCAAGTGCGGTGGTATATAAGCAGCACACTTTGCTTTGCTTTTTTTATGAACCAATTCCTCACACAAGGCAGCATTTTATGATTCTGTTTATGTGAATGACTCTCTCACCTGAGTGGCTGCTAGCCATGCTTACACTTCCATCAGATCCCTGGTCCCCTGGCCTGTCTTCTTCTTCTTCTTCCTGCTTTATTGTAATGTTAGAAAAACCTGAATTGAGAGGAACAGGCAAGAAAAGGTGGTCAGCAGGACTGCAGTTGTGTCTCAATGAACTGGCTACAACTATCAGCTTCAGAGAATTACGCTACATTAACATAGGAAGGTACCCCCTCCTGTGCTGTTAGAGCAGTACGACAACGGAACCCATTGCCTCAGGAGGTGGTGAGTGCTCCAATAATGGAGGCATTCAAGACAAAACTGGACAACTATCTGTCAGACCTGCTTTGACTCGGGATCCCTGCCTTGAGCAGGAGGTTGGATTCGATGGCCTTATAAGCCCCTTCCAACTCAGCTATCCTATCCTCCTCTTGTGTAACTATTCAAGAGATTTAAAAAAAACTGTTCACAAGATTTTAAAAAATTGTTAAACCCTTATTGCTGGAAGTACTTTGAAAACAGCAGAGAGCAAACAGAGCCTTCCATCCTAGAGAGAAGGGCAGGAGAGGGGATGCCTTTACTAAGAGAAAGGCCTTCTTCAACATGTTTGTGCATCGTCTGGACACAAAGAAAGTTGAGGGGTTTTTTGCCTTCTTTCTTTGCAGTGATTGTCCACTCCTGTGACGTCACTGGAACCAGTTGTATTGGCTCTTGCCTTTCCACTGGACTATTTCAGGTGATGTGGAGAGGGGGGATTTGCTGCTTGGGTAACAGCCTATCCTCCATATTACTTTACCCAGGCTTC